AGTGGGATCAAGATCCAATTATCATTGAATGCATCAACCTTGGCGTATGTCAACAAATTGACACATTCAATAATTGGTAGACAACTTTTGTCTTTTACACTCTTGTAATTCTTGATATGATTTTACCCCTAGTCTTTTATGACCTTGACGTATGCCAACAAATCATAAAATGCTAGTCAAGTTTGTACCCATCATTTCTTGACTGGCTTAAATTTAACTTATGCAAACTCTTGACGTATGCCAACAAAGTTGCATAATCAACTTAAGCTATCCTTATATCTTATATACAGATGAATACTATTTAGCCATAGAATAGTTATGCCTTGACGTATGCCAACAAATATAGTATTTATAAGCTTAATAGTATTTAACTAAAATGATGGAGGGCTACGAACGATTTCTCAAATCTTTTACCGTAATCGAACTTGATATAGTTTAAAGATGCTCTATATTTATACTTGCAACAATTAAACTAGCCAGGAAAGCGCAAGATTGATGGGAGGGTTCCGAGCTATTCACCGGGAATATTTATCGGACCTTAATTAAGTAACCACTTCTCTTTAAGATTATAGCGCGAAATAATGGGCATCACCCCTAATCTTAAGTTGGGTATCACCCTATTAGCTATACCTCATAATCACTTTCCTTAGACACTAGCTAAAAGTTGGTTCTAAATACATCTCTTTTAACTTTTTGAGATTTATTTATTTTTCACACTAACGCGATGTTAATGTCGATCTCACCACTCTATGGTCAATAAACTCTTATTGCCATGTCTCACAAAGTTTAAAAAAACAAGTTTTTATAATAAAAACTATTCTCTAGTGAGATAGAGATATAAACTTTGCAAAAAAATAGCACCCAATTATATTGACATCTACAATTTGGGGCACAACCAACATATCAACATATGTAATGTAAAACTTATATAGAATGGTAGTGGACAACTAAAGAAAATAAAATGCAACTACACTAATTACATTTTAGCAAGCCATATGCAACTCTTTGCGGTGCTTGCTCCCTTGCAAACTCTGTATTATTACAATCATATAAACATAGGACAGGCAAGCCCCATTTATAATGGAAAAACCATCTCGTAGGATGAGTAATAATATTGCATTAAATGTAAAGCAAAAAGCTATAAATGAAATAACTAAACTAAGCAACCATATCCCCCCCACACCCGAACAAGGGCCTATACCCGTAGACGTAGCCCATGATCGGTGAGCAAGTGCCTAAACCCGTAGGCGTAGCCCATGCTCGGGGAGGGAAGAGGTCGTAAATAATTATTACATTTCTAACTTTATTACATTAATACAAAACATGCAAGAGAATAGTTGTCCACTACCATCCATAAACATAACATCCACGCAAGATGATAAATCATATAACTTAATCAACATTAAGAAATATGCATCTATCTAGTTATGCAACATATTGGAAACTAGATAGCATAAGGATTATCCAAACTCAAATATGACTAACCAGCTTCTAACATACAACTACACAAGTTGTAATTAATTATTTTACAAAATAACTTGAATTAATTAACTAGTTTCATCTAAACTAGAAATTAGAAGCAAGAACAAAGTCCTCTATGAGTTAGATATGCATGTTAAGATTTAATTAGATGGAACCATGTCTCTGATACCATGAAGGAAATTCATGCTAAATACATGCAAAATACGCAACAGAAGACTATATGTATAATTATGATATGCATGTAGAGAGCATGAAATACATAATGGGACCATCCTAATTAAATCTAACATAATACCTATATTAAAGAGAGCATTCAAGAGTTAGAAAGTCATACTTTCGAAGCGTGATTCGATGAAAGATCGAACAACCCTTAGCTCTTGCTCCTTGTAGTAGAAAATCTCATCGTACTGGATCTTCAAGTCTTCAAGTGGGCTTGATAAAATCAGAGTCTTTTTGAGACACAAGGTAAAATATCCACCCGGGGATACTATAAAATCCTACTACTTCCTCTTACTCAAGATTGCTAGAATTTAGTAAGAGGAGAGCTCTCTTTTATTCTCTTATGGAAAAAAAACCACTTAACTAATTTTTAATTAGCCTTTCCATAAGAAAGAGAGCTCATATTTATAGAGTGAAATGTGTTCATGACATGAATGACTCATCCTATGAGTCATGCAATGAATCATCAAATATCAATGATTAATCTAGTGAGTCATGTAATAAATCATCTTATGAATCATTACATTTCAAACGAATCATTACATTTCAAAACCATGTGCTAATAAACCATGTGCTCAAACCATACCACTAAATGACTCATGTCATGACTCATTATACATGGTATGTGTATTTCATAAATGAGAATACCAAATCAATATTGTATTTCATAAATACGATATTTTGTAATTTTCCAATCATTGATTAATAAGTCATCATATGACCAAAAAGTCAATGAGTTGACCAAAAGTCAACTGTTGACCAAAAAGTCAACTAGTTGACTAAAAGTTAACTTTATAGGAATAAATACTAGAATTTATTTTCTAAGCACATAGCATTCCAATTTTATCAATATACATAACCGTTTATGTGTATCCGGTAAAATCATATATGCGTATCAATCATACGCATCACTCTATAAATTGTGTTTCATAGGATTCAAGTACGCGCTTGGTGTGACTTTAGGGCCCAACTTAAGAACTCGGCAGTGGATCATATCCACAAGTACAACAGATGTGCTAGCTACACATGAAGACTATCCGGGTATAAGTTGTGATAAATGTCTGCAAGATGCTTACACAATTTTATCAGGACCACTCAGTGATAATGCCGTACCCTAGGGTATGAAAAACTGTCAAACCCTAATTGCTTAATTAGTGTTTGTAGATATTAAACTCATAACCTATAAGATCAAACTGACAATCAGTTTATCTTATTTACCTCGGCCAAGGATTTCCAGGTTATAGTTATATCATACAATCTTATGACATTAACCCCCTATACTAGGAGAGACGAATCCCGTATTAGCATCTCAATATCTACTTATGCCTCGGGATGTACCCAACAAGAACCGTTATGCACAATTTGAAAAGAACTGTGGTTAGGTAAAAGTCTAAGTACACCTATACTGACATGTAAGATATTGTACTCATGCCTCAGGTCAAGAGACTACTTTGTACTATATCACTTGAGAACTACTATTTGACAGTTAAGTATAATTACCAACTAGATGTTCTCAGTGAGTCGTTCAGTCAACTCATTCACTAATGAGTCACCTGTATACTATATCTTGATGTCTCACATCAATGATCTAAGAGATGGATCATCGTCCTTCCAAAGAAGAAATAAAGTATACACTAGTCTTACCAAAGTGATGATGTCCCATTTCAACACTTCATCGACTAGGAACATTTTAGAATATACGTTAGCGACAAATCAGATCTCTTCATTACGATCATATCCGAAATGTCTGATAGTCTAGTATCATTCTAAGGACTTTATCTGTATTTAAAAAATACCAGATAAATCTGACCAAAATAGCATACTATTATTTAGAATAAGGATGTTATATTCATATAGGTCCTGTTACAATATACAATTATTGCCTGCAGGGCACCTATATCTAACAGTTTGATAGGTTATCCTTATTTAATTCTAGAATTATAATGTATTGTTTATTCATTTTTCATGAGTGATAATATTGCTTGGATGTGAATTTGATAGGTTATGTTTGTTTTGGGTAATTGGATAGGCTATGCTTAAGAACTCTAAAGTAATATGTAAATAAAAGGAGAATAATTGTTAAATGTAAATTGAAACTAACTAGTGGATTCGATCCTATATTCCTATTCCCCTCTCTTGATTTCCTCCATTTTTTTCTTCCTTTATTGTTTTGATTTGATTTTGCCTTTATTATCTTTTTATATTGTAATCTGCTTTCTATTTAATACTATTAGTGTCTTTCTCTCATTCTTCCCTCTTGCATTAGCCTTTTGTTTTTATAACAAATCTCTACTCAAATCACTCTACACTCTCATTATTAGTTTCTTATACGTTTCAAGAACCCGCTTAGATCTATCTTTCTAGTACTCTAATTCTCCGTGAATTAAAATTTTAAATAGTATAATTTTGACTATTGTGCACTGGTAACTATTCCCCTCTCTTGATTTCCTCCATTTTTTTTCTTCCTTTATTGTTTTGATTTGATTTTGTCTTTATTATCTTTTTATATTGTTATCTACTTTCTATTTAATACTATTAGTCTCTTTCTCTCATTCTTCCCTCTTGCATTAGCCTTTTGTTTTTATAACAAATCTCTACTCAAATCACTCTACACTCTCATTATTAGTTTCTTATACGTTTCAAGAACGCGCTTAGATCTATCTTTCTAGTACTCTAATTCTCCGTGAATTAAAATTTTAAATAGTATAATTTTGACTATTGTGCACTGGTAACTTTTGCATCACTCTTTTTTCAATCTTACAATCGTTTGAGGAATGGATGAGATGGGGACAATCTTTAGAGGAATGCAGTGAGATGGGGAAAACTCGCTACAGAGAACTAAACTGCGTCCTCGGTGACATTTTTCTCATTTTAAGAAAAAAAGAACAATTTTTCAAAACAACCCCATTTTATTTTTAAAATCGACCGATTTTTTTATTTACCAAAACCGACCCGTTTTTTGCCACGTCAGCCTAATCACCCTCCTAAATAGTCGGGGTTGCCAACCCCGACTATTTAGGAGTGCGTTAAACCTCAATTAGAAGCCTAAAACCCTAAAATTTTATATCCTAAATAGTCGGGGTTGACAACCCCGACTATTTAGGATGGTGATTAGGCTGACGTGGCAAAAAACGGATCGGTTTTGATAAATAAAAAAAATCGGTCGATTTTAAAAATAAAAAAATGAAATGGGCTGTTTTGAAAAATTGTTAAAAAAAAAAATCTCTAATCCGGGTCGAATCCTAGCCCTCCATCTCTATATCTATATATCTACATTACCGCGCTAAATCCCTAAAATTGTCCTATTTTCCGCCCTATTTCTTCTCCTCGAATACTTGCCAAAGTTGAAAAAAGCTCTTTCCATTCTCTCTCCTCCCTTTCTCATTCTTCAATCAAACCCTGGAAGAAGAGAAAGGGAGAGAGAAAAAAACCTACGTTTTCTACAAGAAAAGGAGAAATTTTCATAAACGAGAGATGTAGAAGAAAGAGGAATCATAGGTTTTGGAATTATTTAGTTTTTAATAGAGATCGAAGCTTTTTGTGGTTTTCTGAAGGGAAAATGAACAATTCAGCTGGATTGAACTCGGGAGCAGGGGAAATGACCGTCATGAGGAAGAACAAGAGGCCCAAATGTGAGATGTTTTACCCAAATTTCTTCTATTTTTTGTGGGATTTTGATTTCCATGTGTCTAATTTTAATGGGTATCTCGTAGTTTTTCAATTGCGTCGAGATTGAAATTTTTTTGCTTTATGATTTGGACCTGAGTTGTGCTACATTGTGTTTTGATGCCTCTGATTTTCTTGTTGATGGGGCAAAATTTTCCCTCGGATCTTGTATTTGTGAAGAGTTTCAAATTTCTATTGCTTGTCCAGTATTTTTGATGGGTCTTCCGTAGAATTTTTTTTGAGCCCTGATTGCTTTTATGTCTCAAGGGACGCTGAGGTAAAATTTCTTTTCAAAAGCTGTACTTTATCTCTTGCTTGCATGTTTGTTGTGGGGTTTGGGCCTTTATTGTTAAATTTGTATCTTGTTTGCGTGATTTTTTATGAGATTGCTGTGTTTATCACTTTCTCTGTTATAATTTTTTTTTAGATAGCTGTAAGAGATAAAGGAGAGCTCACCTACAAGACCTAGTTGTTTGGAGGTAACCCAAATCTCTTGTATACCCACAATTGGCTCTCCGGTTAGCCAATGTGATTCTAAATAAACCCTAGCATGCCAACACACTTCGACATTCCTAGTGCCCAGGCAGACTGTCTTTGCACTAGTTATCCGAGCATACCACCGCTTAATTCCCGGTGCCCATGCATGCTAGCTCTGAACTAGTTTAGTCGTTGTCGAACACTGCAGTCCCATTGTCACCCTTTTGGCTTTGTGTTAGACTAGTTCCGGATGAATGGGATTAACCATTGTGAAATATCTAGGAAAACTGAACCCTAAAATCTAGTTGTTAGAGGGAAGGAACCTAAATCAAATTTAAACTTCTAATGACTCCACATTTGGTCGGTGTGGGACTAAATAGACCCGACAATAGCTAGTCCTTGTATGTTAGATATCCCTAGGTAAATTATGTCTTTTTCCATTAAGGGCCTATTTGTTTGGCTAAAAAAAGAAGGAAACCAAAGAATAGGAAACTTATTTCTTAAAAAAATTGTTTTATGGTTGTTTGGTTGGCTAAAAAAAAAAGGAAATCATATAATAGGAGATGAGATGAGATGAGTTGTCACCATATTATTGGATGATGTGGGTGATTTTTTAAGAAAACTTGTTTTGAGGTTGTTTGGTTGGTTAAAAAAAATAAGGAAATGAATTATAAGAAACATATTTTCTATAATAGGTTTTTCTCTTGTGTTTGGTTCATTCTTAAAAATAAGAGATGAGATGAGATGAGATGAGTTGTCATTATATTATGATCCGGATGCCGTGTTTATTGATGCTGAGCAGTGGCTTCATAAGACTGGCAGTGGTTTCATATATTTGTCGAAGATTCCTCGGCACCGTTCGTTGACTGAGCTTCGGCGTCAGGCTGTGACACGGGAAATGTCGTGGCGCTTGACGGAGGAGCATGAGAGCGTTCACTGCGGATACATCACTCATCAGGCAGCTCCTGCATTCTTAAAAATAAGAGATGAGATGAGATGAGATGAGTTGTCATTATATTATTGGATGATGTGACCCATACTTAAGGAAATCAATTTCCTTGGTTTTTTTGAGGAAATGAGAGGAAATGAAATGTTAATGAGATGAGATGAGTTGTCACCATATTATTGGATGATGTGGGTGATTTTTAAAGATGAGATGAGATGAGTTGGATGATGTGACCATTTCTTGTGTTTGGTTTTTTTAGGAGATGATATGAGATGAGTTGATGGATGAAAATAATATTTTATTGGATAAAGTGGATGATTTGTTAGATGAAAATAATATATTATTGGATGTTGTGGTGAGTTTTAGGGATGGAAATGGAGGAAATTGATGTTTTTGAGATTTCCATGACCCAATTCCTATTCTTGGTTTTTAGAAACCAACCAAACAGCCCCTAAGAGTAGATTTATTTTCTGTTTTTTTTTTGACTCACTTGGCTCTTAAACCTCAACCTTCTGTGTTTTTTAGCTTCAAAATTTTCTTTTGAACCATTGTGCTGTCTACATGAAGATTCCCTAAAAGGTCTCTTCTATTGGTCGTATCTGTTTGATTACTTTGTAGGTTTTAATATGAGTTCTTGTTTATGATTGGTCTTCCCAAGTTTGACCTTTTATTGTTGGTATACTTTATGGAGCTATCTCCAAAACCCCTTACATTGTCTTTTTTTTTGGTTATATATACTTATTATATGCTTGTTCTAATATTCCCCTCGTAATATAGTGTAGCTTCCAAGGATCCCCCGTATGGTTATCTTATTTAGAGTATCTTCTGTTACCTCCTATTCACTTGATTGTCATGTGTATTCTCCTTTCAGAATTATGGATTGCTTCTACCTTTATTTAGATGCTAGGGAAGTAAAGTAAAAGAAGGACGTCAATGGTTGAGCCACTTAGAACTAGACTTACACAGTTTGCTGCAAATTATTTCTTTTTTACTTTAAATAGAAGAGCCTAAGTCTCCTTAATCACATTCCTGTCCTGCTTTTGGCTTTTGATGCTCAGGTTAGGTAATCCTTTCCCTCCTTTTTTTCTCTTGGAATTGTTGTATTTACACCTGATACTATATCAGATCAGATTGATTTTTTTGGCTTTACTTTCTGATTTGGTTTTGTTTCAGATGACAATATATTATTTCTCAAGGTGCTTTTTTAGTGGGAATTAATTAAATAAAAGTGCTTTCCCTTGCCTTTCAGATTCAAAGTTTACTCAACAAGAGCTTCCAGCTTGCAAGCCAATTCTTACTCCGCAATGGGTATGTTTCTCTAATAATGGGTTGTAAGTGCCAACTAAGTAATACCCATGCCACTTAATAATAATGATGTCCATTTTCTATAGGTGATTTCAGTGTTTGCAATCATTGGCACTATCTTTATCCCCATTGGCATCATCTCACTGATTGCTTCCAATGATGTATGTCCATATTTAACAGATTCTGTTTTCCAAACATCTAATATTATGTGATAATTACATTTATTTTATATTTTCTTATAAGAACGTTTTCCTTTTCTTCAAGGTTGTGGAAATTGTTTATCGATATGAGGAACAGTGCTTACCAAGCAGTGCTACTGATAGAGCTTCTAAGTTGGCCTATATACAGGATCCAACAAGTAACAAAGATTGCAGCAGAATCTTCCAAGTGCCAAAGGATATGAATAGACCTATTCATGTGTACTATCAGCTTGATAACTTCTACCAAAATCACAGGAGGTATGTGTTGGATCCTAGAGGGGGATGATTAGGGTTTGTGCTAATCTAATCCGATTTTATACCAATTAAAACTTATTAAAAAATTATTCTTGCAAGATAGATATACAATATGTTATGAGCAAGAATATGCAATATGAACAAAGAGATATATCCTAGCAATGAGATATATGGTGAAATATATGTAAGGATATATAAATGACACAAGGGTAAACAATCTAAACTAGATGGGACAATATAAACAATGCAAACACACAATATGAACATGGAGTTCGGATCTTCTGTCCTACGTCTCCGTTCCCTACTCCCGGGGAGAAATCCACTATCACAACCGGGTTTTCTACGCTCACCCGAATAACGTTTACACCTCACAATATCGGTTTTTAACGGTCACCGATCAACGTTCACAATCTCACAATGTGACTACACTCCACGCCTCACAATACGGTTTTCTAGCTAACCGAAAACTCTATAACACTTTTAATGTAATAAATTTGTTCTCTATAATAAATGAGAACTCAATCTAGGTTCACTCTCAATTATTACAACTCCCTACAACCCAAATTATACTAAGTATGAAAATACATTAAGCTCAATGGTTGTGTGTGTAAACAAAGAGAAATAAAATCAAATCTAACTCAATTAGCAAACTAGCAATAAATAAGAATATGAAAATCAATAATAAAATTGCTAGAGAAAATAGTTAGAAAAACTTCTCTACTAGCAATAAATAAGAATATGAAAATCAATAATAAAATTGCTAGAGAAAATAGTTAGAAAAACTTCTCTATAACCACAAAGGAGAGGATGAAGAAGATTGAGGATGAATCCCTCAATTGACAACGTAAGCTTTCTCCTTTGTAAACTAAAACCCCAAACTTAAAACAAACTTTTAATTTATTTTAAAAACGTGTTTAAAACTCTCTCAAGTTGTATGAAATAGTTAATGTAAAGGGGTATATATAGGCTTGAAAAAACCAGCCCAAGAATCCAACAAAATTCCATAAAAATATTAAAATAATCAAATCTGAAAACTAGCCATTACTGTGTAACGACTCTCTGATAAGTCGACTTATGAGTCGATTTATATGAGTCGACCCAACAGAAGAAAAATCACAACTCCGTTGTATTTCGTGAGTTGCTTTATGAGTCGACTCATGAGTTGACTACACGTGCACAGACATGAAGTGCACAGAAAAACTCAACTTTGAAGTGCCTTTAAAAATATCAAATAAATTCCAAAAATTATTAAACTTTGGGAAATGTTTGTAAACATATTAATGAACATGTTACAAAAGGAATTTTTAGATTTGCACTTCACATTTGTGAAAGCTCATCATTTTTCAAAATAGTCCAAAAACATAAAAATTAAACATACATGTTTTTGACAAAAGACTTGAACACTATTTTAAAACATTGTAAAATGATTATATAGACTTGATAAGAGATGTATATTATTGTTGTTAAGTCCATAAACCAAAAACTCAAATATGTATATATAACTATTTATATAACACTAAAATGTGTATGTGTGTATATGATATTGAGCTTAGAGTATCTAACACACATAATATAGAACCTAAACTATTTACCCAAGTAACTTGATCTTCAATGAGCTTTTCTTGGTAAACATGCGGATGAAGTATGAACTTAGATCTTCAACTATGAATTATATTGCTTCAACCACTATTCCGCCAACCTCCATTTGATATGATCGTTGTAGCGCAATACCATCCAACCTCCAACTCGTTTATTTATAATAAATTGAAATACACCAACACTAGACAAACACTATTAGTGGTAAATTGTTTGTTAAACATCATCAAAACAAAGAGACCAATAATCTCCCTCTTTTTGATGATAACAAATAATTTACAAAAATGATATATGCATGAAAGAAAATTAATATGTAAATTAGAATTATTATGCATATAACCAAAATAAGATATACTCATAATATTTCTCTTCCTTTGACAACATCAAAAAGAGGAAACCAAGGAATGAAGAGAGCGAAAGCTCCCACTACCTATAAGCATGGATGAGTATAAAACAAATATAGGGATTGCTTACCCTATCAAAATGTCTCATAGGATACATGAAATGAATGCTAAGGCAAGCATGTGAGCAAGCATAAATAAAAAATATGCTAAATATTACTCACATACAAGAGAACAAAGAGAACACATAGATATGTCATTATGAAGATAGTGTCTCATTACACTAACATAAAAATCATGCATAAAATAGATTTATGAAATCAAAAGAAAGAAAAACATGAGAATCATGAAAAGAGTTTTCAAGTGAAAACAAATCAACCAAATGAAATCATAAATCAAATTTTAAGCCCAAAAAATGATGTTTGATCAATAAAGAAAAATTTCTTTAAAGAACTTGATCAAACCACTCATAGAATACATTATAAAGCATATTTGAAATTTGAATCATCTATTTGTGCTATATAATGAATTCAAAGCACAAATCAAAACAAAATTTTTGACAAAATACAAGAGAGACAACAATATATCAAGCTCTTAAGCTTGTTCTAACCCATATAAGGACTTTAAGTACCCGATAACAAGATATGAGAATAAACACCCAATAAATCCGGGGGTTATATAAACACAAACTTCTCATCAAAATCGAAACTAATAATCATGAAAACAAAAGATTTGATCAAAGAAATATTATTTTCTTATTCAAAAATTTCAAAGCACATTTTTCAAAACCAAGAAAAGAGAAAAAAATAAAAAATGCTAAAAATCTTGGTTTACAAATCAAAAAGGTATTAGCTCCCAAACACCATTGGTGCCGACAAGTTTAGGGACATGCCCCCTATCATTAAGGCTCAAAGCCCTAGGGTTATGAACCCGTCTGGACGCATGTGGTGTACTAACACGGTCAAAACAATCATCACTCAAATGACCCCTTCGATTGTAATATGTGCAATGAAAGAGATTCATTTGTTTTTGTGGACCATTAGCTCGTGCACGGGAATCATTTGCAAATAAAGATTGTTTTTTAAAATAATCATTTGCAAATAAAGATTGTTTTTTAAAATTATTTTGCAAATGAGAAACGTTCTTAAACAATGGTCTATTTGGAACATATTGCAACTTAGAAGCTTTTTGCATATCATAACAAAATTTTGTAAGATGTCCAAACCTATCACAAACATCATATTTAAAAACATGTGGTCTACTAGAAGCATTTGACAAACTAGAATTCTTTTTCAAATCAAAGCAAAACTTTGCCAAATGGTCAAAACGATCACAATAATCATATTTAAATACATGAGCATGCTTATGATGAACATGATGAGTATGTGCATGTGTATGTGATGAAGAAGCCTTATAAGATGCACAAGAAGCATTGATATTAGCTTTTTTAGATTTTTATGCATCACAGCAAAATTTAGCTAGATGGTCTTTTTGGCAACAAATGGAACATTTATAAATTTTGCTATACAAGTGTGCATAGTGTGTAGGTGATTTTGTAGCACTAGATTTAGCACACTTGTCCATAAGTTTCTTATGATTATCAATGCATGTTTTCAAAGTTGAATCTAAAGATGAAATGCGTTTATTCACAAGATTCAAATTATCATTAGGCACATATGCATTTTTATTAGAAGTGGAACATAAATAGTTCATATATAAAAGAAGCAGTATCATTTTTTATGTTTTCTACTTCTAACATGGTATTATCTCTTTCATGAGTTAAACTATAAATGGATGAGGCCAATTTTTTATTTTCCAAACTTAAAATATCATTGTTTTCTTTAAGTGAAACATTTTCTTTAGCAATGATATCAAATTTGGAGCCTAGCAACTCATGATCGGATTTCAAATTATCATACTTGTTTTGTAAATCAATAAAATCTTTATACAATTTGTTATAAGCATGCAATAATTTTTCACTAGCATAAGCAAGTTCATCATTAGATAAATTATTAATGGATTCGAACTCGCAAACCTCACTAGGGCTATCGCCTAGTGCTCGAGTGCATGATGTTCCAATATCACTTGGAGAAGAATCCTCCAAACCATGTCGGATTTCCTCCAAGTCCCATTGATGTGCTTCAATAAATTTCTATAAGTTATAAGCATTATCAAAATGAACAAACTTGTTAGACATAGATGAACCAAAAACATTTAGCAAATATTCTAACAAAATCTTGTTCATTGTAAAGATTCGATGATCATTTTTATTCCACTTAGATTTCTCCGAAGTGGACATAATATAAGCATCATCTATAATTTTCCATAAATCAGAATGTTTAGATCTAACAAATAGCTTAAATCTAACATATCATTGGGCATAGGAGAAATTATCTAATCTAGGAGCAATATTGATGGCATAACCTAAACAAGGTGCACTATGCATGTCCATAATATTCATATGTATGCAAGCAAGATACAATAAAGCTCAAAATAAGATTACCACAACAAGCTAACTTGGATCTTTTAACTCAAGGTGATTAGACCTTAAATCAAAGAGCACCAAGCTCTGATACCAATTATTGGACCGTAGAGGGGGATGATTAGGGTTTTGTGCTAATCTAATCCGATTTTATGCCAATTAAAACATATTAAAAAATTATTCTTGCAAGATAGATATACAATATGTTATGAGCAAGAATATACAATATGAACAAAGGGATATATCCTAGCAATGAGATATGGTGAAATATATGCAATGATATATAAATGACACAAGGGTAAACAATCTAAACTATCTGGTAATATAAACAATGCAAACACACAATATGATCATGAAGTTCGGACCTTCCGTCCTACGTCTCCGCTCCCCACTCCCGGGGAGAAATCCACTATCACAACCGGGTTTTCTACGCTCACCTGAATAACGTTTACACCTCACAATATCGGTTTTCAACGGTCACCGATCAACATTCACAATCTCACAATATGACTACACTCCACGCCTCACAATACGGTTTTCTAGCTAACCGAAAACTCTATAACACTTTTAATGTAATAAATTTGTTCTCTACAATTAATGAGAACTCAATCTAGGTTCACTCTCAATTGTTACAACTCCCTACAACCCAAATTATACTAAGTATGAAAATATATTAAGCTCAATGGTTGTGTGTGTAAACAAAGAGAAATAAAATCAAATCTAACTCAATTAGCAAACTAGCAATAAATAAGAATATGAAAATCAATAATAAAATTGCTAGAGAAAATAGTTAGAAAAACTTCTCTACAACCACAAAGGAGAGGATGAAGAAGATTGAGGATGAATCTCTCAATTGATAACGTAAGCTTCCTCCTTTGTAAACAAAAACCACAAACTTAAAACAAACTAAACAAACTTTTAATTTATTTTTGAAACTTGTTTAAAACTCTCAAGTTGTATGAAATAGTTAATGTAAAAGGGTATATATAGGTTTGAAGAAACCAACCCAAGAATCCAACAAAATCCCATAAAAACATTAAAATAATCAAATCTGGAAACTAGCCGTTACTGTGCAACGACTCTCTGATAAGTCGACTTATGAGTTGACTTATATGAGTCGACCCAGCAGAAGAAAAATCACAACTCCGCTGTATTTTGTGAGTCGACTACACGTGCACAGACCTGAAGTGCACAGAAAAACTCAACTTTGAAGTGCCTTTAAAAATAGCAAATAAATTCCAAAAATTATTAAACTTTGGGAAATGTTTATAAACATATTAATAAACATGTTTCAAAAGGAATTTTTGGATTTGCACTTCACATTTGTAAAAACTCATCATTTTTCAAATAGTCCAAAAACATGAAAACTAAACATACATGTTTTTGACAAAAGACTTAAACACTATTTTGAAACATTGTAAAATGATTATAGACTTGATGAGAGATGTATATTATTGTTGTTAAGTCTATAAACCAAAAACTCAAATATGTATATATAACTATATATATATATATATATAACACTAAAATGTGTATGTGTGTATATGATATTGAGCTTAGAGTATCTAACACACATAATATAAAACCTAAACTATTTACCCAAGCAACTTGATCTTCAATGAGCTTTTCTTGGTAAACATGCGGATGAAGCATGAACTTGGATATTCAACTATGAATTATATTGCTTCAACCACTATTCCGTCAACCTCCATTTGATATGATCGTTGTGGCGTAATACCATCCAACCTCCAACTCGTTGTTTGTCTACAATAAATAGAAATACACGAACACTAGACAAACAACATTAATGGTAAATTGTTTGTTAAACATCATCAAAACAAAGAGGCCAACAGTACGCATGCATTTATTTGTTAAACTATTTATTTTCAACATTGCAGCTCATTTGCAATAAACCATTAGTCATCATGCTTTGGTATTTGACTTCCCTTTGCATAACCTTTTATTAGGGATAGTTTCTTTTATACAAGGGCATTTTTTTTGTACCTTGAAAAATAAATGGTTATATGTCATTATTTTCCAAAGTATAAATTACAAGCATAGTGTTGGATGCTAACATGTGAAATATACGATGATGATTTTGGTGTAGTGGCAGGGACCTATGACAATGATAAAGACAACTATCAGGTTGTCCTAAGCATTCCTAGTAGGAGCAATATATGGTGTCTCTATAAGCCTTTTTTCAGATCCTATATGCAATTTCTATCCATGATATCTTAAAGTCTCTCTCTTCTCTATCTTTTAGCACAAAGTTAGCAACCTTTTTACTAGGGCTTTCCTCTTTTCCCTTAATATCTTATATCTTTTCATACTTTTGTATTTTCCTACCCACACTTTCATTTTGGCTTCTGCGTTGCTTTATGCTCAATGCATGCAAACCCTGAGCTACTTTCCTTTTTCATTATTCAGATTGTGCGTACTCTGTTATTACTTGTCCATGTTCTAACACATTTATCTACACATTCTTGTACCTGCTACTTGCTCTTATTTATCAACCCTTTATTTAAAGGTAGAAGTTTTGCTTAGTCACTTGACAGACCAATTGGAATATAGGTATGTGAAGAGCCGAAATGATGTGCAATTGCGTGATGCTCGGAAAGCTAATACGACAAGTGGTTGTGTTCCTGAGGAGACCACTGCAAATGGGTCTCCAATTGTTCCTTGTGGTCTCATCGCTTGGAGTTTATTCAATGACACCTATAGCTTCACTCGTGGGAATGAACAATTAGAAGTGAACAAGAAAGACATTTCCTGGAAGAGTGACAGGGATCACAAATTTGGAAAAGATGTCTATCCCAAGAACTTCCAAAATGGGGCTTTAATAGGCGGTGGAAAACTTGATCCTAGCAAGTCTGTAAGTTTTCTATTGCTTAACAAACTGTTGATGTGCTAACTCAGCATAGAAAGCATAGATTTACTGCTTAACTAGTATTGTGGGAACAAGAAAGACATTTCCTGGCGCATAAATCCTGAACTTTAAAAACTTTTCTAGGCTGCATTCCATGTTCCTAAGTACACAGTTCTATTGGAATATATTGTATATGAACATATTTGTAATATAATAATATCTCAAAACTTTTCTGATATAGCTAGACTATACTGCTGACATGATCCGAGTTCTGGAGCTGCTGAATGCAAACCCCACTAGTTTCACTAGCTTTGTTGCTTATTTATGGAATAAGTAGGAAAGTGTTAATTTAGGAGCAACCAGCTTATGAAAAATTTCCTCTTGTGCTTTCTGTTGAAATTTTATATGCTACTTATTACCTTATATCCTCTGCGAAATTTCTAAGCCATACTTTCATCATCTACATGTTGCTCAAAGAGGTGAACTATCCTCTTAAGCATCTATCATCAATCCATCTATTACACGCTTTTCAAGTATCAAGAATTTCATGAATTATACATGAAAGAAAAGTCAAGAGACTAACTATAGACTTATCATTGTTTGATATGCGCGGCTTTCTCTAACATTTGACGAGTTTCATTAACATTTATCAACTTATGTCAATCATATTTCTTACAGGTGAGAATAATATAAATCAAGTTTATCGTTTATCTAATACCTTTTTCATATATTGTCAGTTAAATGAACAAGAAGATCTTATTGTATGGATGCGAACTGCAGCACTTCCAACATTTAGGAAGTTGTATGGGAGGATAGAGACAAATCTCAAAGAAAATGACACCATAGCTGTCTATCTTCAAAATAATTACAATACCTATACTTTTGGGGGTAAGAAGAAGGTGGTTCTTTCAACGACAACATGGATAGGTGGAAAGAACGACTTCCTCGGCATTGCTTATCTTAGTGTTGGTGGACTTTGTTTTTTTCTGGCTCTATCCTTTACCATGATATATTTGCTATACCCAAGGTGAGTTTTTTTTCTTCTATAAGAACATCATGAGGTCTAAAGTGACTGTTTTGATTTCAGATAAAAATAAAATAGCAATTTTAAGATCATCGAAAGTCATTGAACGCCCTTAAAAAATAAAAAAGAAATCAACCAAATCCGGATCAACTAGGAAGAAAAATCGAATGTTCTGTTTTCATTTAAAAATCGAATGTTATGTTTTCATTTAGAAAGTTGTGAAATACCCTTATGAAGTTTATTAGCTAGGTAAAATATTTTTATCCATGCTTCACCATTTGTTGCATTATTTAAGCCTAACACTAACCTAGAAAAACTGTGGATTATTTTAATCGATGAACATGTAAATAAAAATTAGGTGAGGAAGTTGTAAGATGTTTAAAAGGTCAGAAATAAAACAATAAGATGGTCTTAATCAGACCAGTCTTCAGAATAGACAGGCAGTTTTAAGAAAAGAAAGGCTATAATGGCTTTTTTTTTAAGAAAATATAGAAACCACTATTAATTTCATATGAACCCAATTAGTACAGATGTTTACCTCCAAAATTTTGTTTTATTTATTTGGTGTGTCTACGTCGTATTGCCATATGATGAAGTGCAACTAATTTGATACAAGAATTTACAGCTACTTTTTGAAAGAAATTTAGGCTTTTCCATTTGAAGCTGTTCTATGAACTTTTGTGAATTAGGATTTCGGCACCAAGTTTCTTAGACAGATCTTTATGTGAATTATTTTCTTATGAATTATATGATTTTTCTTCACCTTTCACCCCATTCTTCTCCACTGCAGAGGCCCAACCTCCTAACTGAACCGAACGTAATAAGTTTTGTAAGTCTGGGTTTGAAAATTTTGGGAAAAAAACAATCCAACACCATCACCTAGTTGCTAAATGTGGAGTTACGAAAATGTTAAATTTGGAAGTCTTTGCAAATTACTGAGGTAAACAACTGAATGAAAAAAGTCTGCAAGAATTTGAGATTGAGGTGAATTTCAGAGTAATTTGTAATGTTCAACAAGCTAAGAAAGACAACATTATTTTCATGATATGAGCAAGAAATTAGCTGTATGTTGCCATTCTAATGAGGGTTTGTGCTACCCAAAGTCAATAGAAAGTGTTGTCATGTAATTGCCAAGTATTCGTTTTTTATGGGAGATTACTCTTTCGCTTTTATGGAGTAGGCTTGAAGGAGGAGCCTACGGTTATCTTAGTCAATCTTCCAGAATTATGATTTTTCTTCCAAACTTTATTATTGTTTACCAAGGTATCTTTCATAAGTTTTTAAAGAGAGTGATATGCTTTCCCTGACTTCACTTTCAAAATTTGCAGGCAACTTGGGGATCCATCATATTTGTCATGGAACAGAAATCCAGGAGGGCACTAAATTGTTATTATCGCCTTCATCGGAAGCATTTTGTAGAAACCAAACATGTTCCAATGTCTGTAGTATAGTTAAGTTAAAAAAGAAAAACCCATGCATTTATTTTTCTTTCATGCGTCTTATTCTACCTTTGAAGCCTTACTGTTTGGTTACTCACGTATGATTTGCTTTTGTTTGAAACTTTGTGGTATCTGTCTTTATTATAAAAATAAAAGCTGTTGGTCAAGAGAAGCGTGATTAATGCCTCTTATACCTATTTCGCTGTTAAAAATCAAGATGTACAGAGAGGCATAAGTGACAAGAGCAAGGATTTATTGGGAAGGCACGCTAAACTAACTAGGAAGTTTTAGGTATACGCTACAGCAAGCTTGTGCTCCATCTTATTATTCCCTCAATTTCTCTGCCATCAAGCAAGCACGTGTCCCATGCAAAGACGCAAGGGAAAGAATTCAAAGGTTGGTAAAAGCTTTTCATTATAATTACTATTAATTGAATATGCGTATGATGTTGCAAAGGTCCAATTGCAACAGAGAGTTCCTAGGCGATTTGAAGATGATACATCTTCTAGAATCTTTGGTCGCATTTGCCAGTTGTCAGTGACTAATATTTGATGAATAATGGGAATTAAAGTGGGTAAACGTAATGCATCCGAGTGGATATAGGAAATGAACCAATATACTAATTTTATGCTCATACATGTTAATTCCATTTTTCCCCCCAACATAAGAGAAGCTTGGTGCAGCAGTAAAATGGTAAAGTCTGAGCAGTGGTTCAAAGTTTTACTGCAAGAAGGGGAATGTTAAAGGGGAAAAAAATAAAATATATCCTAAATTTTTTTGACCAGTATGTAATAATTTAAATATCAAAGAACGGAATTTCAAGTTATGGATCTTCAAAAACAAATTTGAAAAATGAAAAATTAACTCGCTTTTCTGAGACATGTTCGAAGCACAACTAGCAACAAAGCATATACTAGATATAAGGTAAAGCTAAAAAAACAATTTAAAAGTTCATATACCAAAAATATTTGTAATTATATATCCATTTATTCTGCCTGCTAACCCTGTCTACTGCAGTATAGAACTATTCTCTGAACTCTAGAGCAAACTTGTCATACCTTTTAATACATATTCAGAGAGAGAGAGAGAGAGAGGGAGGTATTTCTTCCTTCAAGCATTTTCTTACAATTGTAAATGACCAACTTCAAGAGGATCATAAATCACAGAATTAACAGCAGCAACCATTTCCTTTGGTGAAGTGAATCCATCATTCCTTAGATAAAATAGATGTAGAACTTTGCTCATCTTCCAAAATAACTCCTTGCAATCTTTTGGAACTACACTTCCCTCTGTTTGCGACACAAGCCTCAGCAGCTCTCTCCTAGTTGAGCTTATAATTCTCTCTGCTTCTTTCTTGGCTTCGTCTTCGGTAATAGAACCATGGAGAATATGCAATGCTAAGCTGTTCAATTTCCCTTCCTTAAGTTCTCTCTGCCGATGAAAAACATTAGTCACAGGAACTTACGCAGTTTAGAGGGATTTCATACTATGGAGGGAAATTGATCTTGGTAGCTAATGGCCCTATCACCATGAAGTTAAAGGCATATGTAGAGCAAATACATGTATATGATATGGTAGCAAGACCAAATGGTTCCCATGAAAAGCAAAATGATGCAAAAAACCATACACCACAATATATTTATATCTACCCATTCAATTTGGGGTTAATTTCAGAAAACCTCCTACTTTGAGTTATTAGCATGGGGTATGAGTTTTCTTCGTCATGATTGATATTTGATATACATGTCAAGAATGCACAAATTAACTTTGATGTAATAGAACGTTGAAAAATCTACACTTTTTTTATCTATGCAGCTTCAGTCATGTCAACATAATACCAATGGTTTTATTTTAGCCATATGAATTGGATTCTCTTACTACCAAACATGTTAATTGAGCTATGCAAACAATATCCTATGCCATTAATCCGTTCAGCATCTATTACTTCATTTATATGATCAATGAAAGTGATGTTTAGAATTCAATTGATTGGAGAATCTTACTTCAAATCCTTGAACATCATTGAGAAGACGCCCACACGTGCTCACAAGTTTGTACAAGTTATGGTACTCTGGATCCCTAATAACATCCTCTGAAAGCTTTGGACCAACAAAATAGAGTGCTGGCAAAATAATTGGTCCTAGAGCAAATGAAACATATCCATTTTCCATGTAATCATCCAGTGAAGGAACTGACTTGTTCATCAGCCACTCGGCCTCTTTTATCATCGACTTCATCAAGTTAAGCCACTGCAACTTACAAATTCGGAAGTTAAGAAGACTACAGAAAGAACTAAACAAAAAAGAGGGGTTTTCTCATTTTGGACACTAAAATCTTTCATATTTTGATATTAAATCCCCACATATTTATATTTTAGTTACGCCCTCTATTCAGGTTCCATCCAAATGTATAAATGTTCTATGGTTAGAAGCTAACCATATGAGATAAATTACCTTTAATTCCCTCAGTCCTAGAATTCATCCAAAGCACAAGAGAGGAAGGTGGTAATAAGCAAGAAAAAAAATACAAATAATGTAGTTTGTGTGTTGTAATAGAGTGAAGAAATAGGTTTCAAATGAAGATCTAGTGCAGATGTTAGTGGATTTGAGGAGAGTAAATGGAAAGAACATGAAACGATTAAAGCGATGGGAAGAATGGATAAGGCATTATTAGGACTGGGGAGCCATTTCGTAAGGGTATAATTGTCTAGACAGTATAAAATATAACATTTAATGGAATATGTTCTAAAATGGCCATTAAAGTTAACAACAGGGTGTAATTTGAAACAAACTAAAAGGATTTGGGGTGCAAATTAAAAATATGACAGTTTGGAGCCTAATATCAAAATATGAAAGATTTTAGCATTTAATATGAAAAAATTCTTCCACAACATGATTAAATGTCTCACAATCTCAATTATATGAGGTGTGACACTCCTCTTCTGGAGCGCTGATGCCTTGGCTCCAAGCTCATTAATAGTACTGTAAAGAGCAGAGAATACGATCTCCACTTGTTTTGAACAGAACTCCTTCTCATGAATTCCATCCCATCTGTCAAAATATCCAAGTTCAAAATCATGTAAATCATACTTGTTTGCAATTAAATAAATTGTACCTCTCAACCAGCATAATAATGTTTAAAAGTTCTTCTCTTGAACCTCCAACATCAAAGAAATCATCAACCACAGTAGTCAGCACACTATTTTTTGCCCAAGACATGCGAGCATCTGCCATTTCAGGGGGAAAAAGTGTAGCAGCAGTAGAAAGATAGCAGTATGCTAGTTTCTGCCTAGCAAATTCAAGCCGATCCAACTTATTGTCTTTGACCCACCTGCTTGCAAGAAAAAGTTGTGCTATGGATTTTAGAGAAGCAGAATGAATTCTATCAACATGGGTAAACAACAAGAATCCTCCTCCATCTCTTCCTTGTTTTTAAGAAACTTCCATGTCTATGATCAATAATAAAACCATTTGTTCGGTAATGGAGTTTAGTTCCTAATACATCTAGACAACCATCAGCATGCATAAATCTAGATTAATGATAAAAAAAGATTGGAGTTATTTACTCTATCCAACAACTTACTCTTTTCTATATCTTCATTCATATTTCTAACTCTCAAAAATTGTGAAATCTGAAGCACAAACGTTGGTTCATACGTATCCAAGTACAAGTGTCTGCGTAGACGTCTGAAGAACAAAACTCAGTTACAAAATTAATGGTTTCATTAATGCTCATAGATAAGTTTTTTTACCCCTTCAAAGAGAGGGGTATAGATGAAGGGGAGTTTCTCATAATTTACCCTAACCATATTAAGAAATAAATGGATAGACTCACTTCTCAAGACATTCCAGTTCTTTGCGGTACATAGACTGCGACAAATTGAAGTCTTCCACTGCCATCTTTAGGACATCTTTTTTATTGATACTGTGATTGCTATTGAGACGACAATAATTAGTTTGTGCTAATATAATAAACAAGTACTGAAGACAGCTTATTTTTCCTTCATTTGAAAACTACTAACGAAATCTTACACATATGATGTTTTGAGAATCCTGAGATTTCCCCCATCAGAGAGTTCAATATGTTTCTTGTGTTCTAGACGATCCAAATTAGCATAGAAAGGAAACTTAAGAGCATGAGCAACCTGAAAAAGTGGATTTCAACATAATCTATCAAATGTCAATGCTTAATACCCGCAATAGAGGATAATATTCTGGTGATGGAACAATGTACATTACTAGTTTCAGAGGTGCAATCTCTGGATGAGATACAGTGGCTAAGTTTTGAGAAATGATCTTGGAGGTGAGTTCACGTAAAACATTTAGAAGTCAAAACATTTCTTGTAGTTTGTCATATTTGATGAATGGCCTGAATCTTCAGGACTGAAATAAGACTGTTTTAGCTCTATTTTATTTGGACCTAAGCTTTAGTCATTAACCATACACATGAACCTGAGTTTAAGAAGAGTTTCAATTTTTCTGTCTATATCCATACTGTATACAAATTTGAAGTATCTAAATTTTGCGCACAAAAGACAGTCCAGGTTTTGGTCCAGGAGAAACCTCTCCAACTTACCCCCAATAGGAAAGCACAGTCGACAGTCCTCACAATGCAACGGACATAATCCGTTATGAGATTGTTATGGAGTAATATCGTTAAGCTAAATTGTGAGAGAATTGTATCCCAAAGCGTATTCATACTGGAGTTTGATGATGCGCACAAAAATTACCACAGCAAAAGTATTGCAAATTATTAACATACAGTTAATATATAATTGCAAGAACCTATGCATTTAGGTTAGCAAAAATATGTCTTTTCTTAACCAATATAAAGCCCATCCAAGAGTTGGATAGAGGATTACTATGTATTGGTTATCTATCTACCTACCTAGAATTTTTGTGAAATTCTATATATAAGTTTTCCTCATTTCCCCGTTGAAAAATGAAGAGTTCAAATTAGTTTATGCATCAAAGTATGTTATTCTACTCTGAAACACAATATTTTAGGAAGTATTATACTTTCTGACATGTATGAAAGAATGATAAATGTGTGGCATTATGCAAGTCTCTTCATCCTAAATATGCAATTCAAGTAAATTAAGCAAATCTCTAGTAATTTGTTAGATTTCACATAAATATGCATTGTGCAAGCTCTTAAGTGTTTAAGCTTATTGTGTTTAAGCTTATTGCACTAAGCTTTTCTAACCAATCAATTACCTTTAGGCCATAGCGTATATTGGATTTTGTTTACACAGTAGTAAGAATTAAATAGTGGATAAATGCTTTCTTTACCTTGTCAAATTCTCTATTTTCCTTCTTCATCCCTTTCTTGTTTATCAAAATTTTGTAGAAAGCTAATTCGCAACTGTTTGCGCATGTGGCTAAATCTTTCAGTTCAGGTAAAGATCTTTCGATCTGTAAAAACCTTTCGGTTCAGGGCTAAGTTCCTTCGGGCACAGATTAAAGCTTGCACGCTTTCAAACTCTACAGCAGCAGCACAACAGCCCGAACACTTCAGTGTGTTTTTCGTATATTCCAAGAGCTGCCCTAATGGCCACTATTTATAGGCCTCTAAGACCAACTCAAGGGTCACCCGCAGGCAATTTAACTGTTATAAATCATAATGACAATTATGATAATTATGATTATAACAGCAAATGACTTAATTGTTGTAACTGTTGTATGCAGTAACGCCTGAACGCGAGGGTCGTGTTTCTCGCACCGCCGCGCGAGGGTCGCGCCTAACGAACGTGAGGGTCGTGTTCCCTCTTGCGAACGTGAGGGTCACACCCTTGCGCGAACGCGATGGTCGCGTTCCCTCTTGCGAACGTGAGGATCACCCGCGAGGCTCGCCCCACGCTGCAAACGCGAGGCTCGCCCGCATGCTGTGACGCAGCCTGCGAGGCGATATGTGAGGTGGCCAACGTGGTGCCAAAAGGCGTCACCTAACCCCGATACCTCCGTACGAAGTGCAAAGTGCACCTTTCAAAACGCCACTTAGCACCTTAGCCCGATTAGCCCCGATCCCCGGCCCATTGGCCCACGGCCCACGACCCACTAGTACTTATGAGGGATTAATTTAATTATTTAAATTAAAAATAATTCTCGGCTTGCCTACGGCAAGCCTCGAACGCAGAACCTTTTGAAACACCAAAACTTTTACTTTTCACTACGCTACTAAGGATTTCTGAAAATTACCAGTACTTAATAAATATATAGTTTGAAAACTTATTTTTGGAAAGCAGTTTTGACCAAAAAATCTAACAATCCCCTACAAGTTTTTAAACTAGTGTCGTGTAACGGTGCCCTTATTTCAATCGTTGTGCATAAGGTAGATATCGCAAGGACTTGAATCCCCTTTAGACCAACTGAATAAAAGATAGATAGATGGTGTCGCAAAGACTTGAACCAGCACATGTCTAAAAAAGTAAAAATCCAGCGTTCACACAAGATCAAACTCATCCGTGGTAGTTTTCACTTTGAACCATACTTGCCTTTGCCTTTACCTTAGTGTTGCACATTTATGACCTGCGTTGCACATTTATGACCATGTTCATGTCCTGGCTTCAGCTAGGGCTCTAGGCATCTTTGCACAAGACATCATAAGAGACGGTCAAATCTCCACTCAGGCATAGGTGAGTTCTTTAGGCATGTTTCCTATCAAACATCATGCATCCGAGATGCTTTGAACTCATTAAGGCTTAAGAGTCATCCTCTCTCATGATAGGATTCTAGGTGAGTCCTTTAGGCGTGTTTTCTATCTAACACTCTGCATCCGAAATGCTTTGGATTCATTAAGGCTTAACAGTCATCCCCTTTACATGATAGGATCATCGGTGAGTCCTTTAGGCATATTACCTATCCAACAGCCCGCATCTGAAATGCTTTGAACCAATTAAGGCTTAACAGTCATCCTTTTTATCATGATAGGATTTTATTTGTAAATCTTACTTGACTTTTGAACCAATCATCTTATCATTACTAGCGTAAGCTTTGAACTAATAACTTGATGTAAATAGTAAGTGTTTGTAATACTCACCAAATTTTGAAAATCTTACTTGTCTTTTGAACCAATTATCTTATCATTAGTCGTGTAAACTTTAAACTAATAACTTGATATAAATGGTAAGTATTTGTAAGATTCACTAAATTTTGAGACTCATTCCAGCAGACGTCCTTTTGACTATGTCCTTTTTCAGACCTTTAGTCAAAGGATCAGCCACATTCTCTGAAGACTGAACGTCAATCATAGAAATAACTCATTGGCAAATGAGTTCTCTCAAATAACCATGCTTCAGACGAATGGTCTGCTTCTTTCATTGAACATCGAGTTCGCTGCCACAACACTCGTCGCCTGATTATCACAATAGATAGTAATTACGCCTTATAATTCTATCAATAAAATGTCTCGGAGAAAACAACTGAGCCACTGAGCCACTCAGCTTCACCTCCTGCAACACAGAGTATGAAGAATTCAGATTCCATCGATGACTATGCAATCATAGTCTGCTTCTTAGACTTTCACGAGACGACAACTCCACCCATGGTTAAGACAAAACCTCTAGTAGATCTGCACTCATCTGGTTCTGAGCACCAGCTCACATCTGAATAGCCTTCGATTACAACCAGATATCCAGTGTAGAATAGGCCCAGACCTATAGTTCTTTTTAAGTTTCTCATCAATCTCTAGACAGTATCCCAATAAAGCTTTTCAGGATTACTTGTGAACCTACTAAGCATTCATACAGCGAATGCTATGTCTGACCTTGTGCAGCTCATCGCGTACATAAGACTCCCAATGATCTTTGACTACCTTAGCTGCTCTACTGGTCTTCCAGTGTTTGGTTAAAGTTTCTTGTTGTAATCATACGGCACTGAAAGTTCTGGCAGATAGTAGTAGCCATACTTTCTTAGCATGCTCTTGACATAATAAGATTAGGACAATCCAATACTCTCTTCAGAGTATATGATTTTGATTCCGAGAATTATGTCCGTAATTCCAAGGTCCTTCATGCTGAACTGTGCTGAAAGAAATTTATTAGTAGATATTACTATCTCCAAATCACTCCCGATAATAAGCATATCATCCACATTGAGGCAGATAACCACCGCCTTTCTTTTAGTGACCTTGATGTATAGGCACTTGTCAGATTCACTGATTTGATACCCATTGTTGCGAACAACCTCATCGAACTTCTCATGTCAGAGTTTCGATGCCTGCTTAAGTCCATGTAGAGACTTAACAAGTTTACAAACTTTACCAGTTGAGGCATCAAGTCTTTCTGGTTTCTCCATGTAGATTTTTTCTGTGTGATCTCCATTGAGAAAGACAGTCTTCATATCCATCTAATGTATGTTAAACCTTTTATCGCTGCCCATGCAATAAGCACTCTGATAGTAGTGATTTGCAGACTGATGCATAAATATTAAAGAAATCTATTCATTCTCTCTGAGAGAATCCTTTTGCCACCAGTCTTGTTTTGTACTTCTCAATAATACCATCAAGACGAAGCTTCTTTTTGAAGATCCACTTGTAACTGATAGGCCTTGCACCTTCAGGTATATTCACCAGCTCCTAAGTATGATTTTGGATCAATGAATCCATCTCATTATCTATAGCTTCTTTTTACAGAAGAGCATCTGTTGACTGCATTGCTTCTTAGAAAGTCTGTGGATCTCCTTCCATATTATAGGTGATTAAGTCATCTCCAAAATCCTTTTGTCTCGTGACACGCTTGGAAGGTGGTTCGGTAACTCTTTCATCATTGACATTTTCAGTTTCTCGCGAAACTGGCTCCTTTGGTGCATCTGATGTACCAGCATTCTCTGGTATATCTTTGAGCGAGAATTTTGCATCCTGAGCTTTAATGACCTCTGGTGCATCTGACGTACCAGCATTCTCTAGTATATCTTTGAACAATAAACCTTTATCCTTGATAAACTTATCCTCAAAGAATTATGCATCCTGAGCTTCAATGACGGAGTTGGTTCCAAGGTCCAGGAATCTGTAAGCATCGCTATCTTCAGCAAAGGCAAGAAACACACGCATGTTTGTCTTTGGTCCGAGCTTAAGCCTTTTGATATCTGAAACTCGAATATATGCAAGACACCCCCACACTTTGAGACTATCCAAAGGATTTGGATATCCCAACTATAACTGATGAGCAGTACTGTCGGTTTTGGAATAAGGTATTCTGATCAAAATCCAGTTTGCCATCAGCAAAACCTCTTCCCAATAGCAGGTAGGTAGACCAGATATGATTAGCATCGAATTCACCATCTCAGTCAATGTACGATTCTTTCTTTCTGCAATCCCATTAGATTACGAAGAATACGAAACAGTAGTTTCAGCAATGATTCCATGCTCCTTGAAATATGCTTCTGATTCATTAGATCGATATTCTCCTCCTCTATCGCTCCTGAGTTTTTTCACCTGAAATCCAAGCTGCTTCTCCACACCAGTGCGAAACTTGACAAACTTGCTAAAAGCTTCATCTTTAGATTTTAACAGGTAGACGTGGCAGAAGCAAGAATGGTCATCAATGAAAGTGATGAAGTACTTCATGCTGTCTCGAGTGACGAAACTCTTGAAGTCACAAGTATCTGAATGAATCAGATTCAACAGGTTGGTGCTCCTTGTGACACTTGGAAAAGGCTTCATTGTCAGCTTCGTTTGCGCGCAGACTTGACACTTCTCAGGTTTGTTAGCCTTACATTTTGAAAGTAATCCTAACTTCTCCATGCTAAACAGTTTTTTATAATTTACATGTCTCAACCTATTGTGCAATAACATAGAGGAGTAAGCAGAAGAGGATATTTTGTTTATAACTGAGTTGGGTACAATATTACTGATTTTATACATACCATCAGTATGATATGTATTATCAAAATACATTTTCTTAAATGATAACACATCCTTTCCTCCATGGAAATCCAGTCTCATACCTGCATCACATAGCAAGCTTCCAAAGACTAAGTTTTTAACAACTGAGGGAACATGTTTCACATCCTTCAATGTGAGCTTTCCCTAAAGAGAGTCAGCACCAGTCCTAGTTCCAAGAACAAGAACTACAGAACGATCAGTCATTGATACGTTCTCTTTGATAGCAATACAAGAAGAGAACAGATCTTTGTTAGAGCAGACATGACAAATAGCACTTGTATCTAACCACCAACCAGAGATTTTGCTGAGAATTGTCACTTGAAAGAGCATAGTCACACAATTGTCAACTTGATTGATATTGTGTGTTGTTCCCTTCTTTGGTGCTTTACAGTTCTTGGCAAAATATCCTTCCCACAGTTAAAACATTTGCCGCTCTTCTTGAACTATTTCTTCTCAGGTTTTTCAGATTCTGGTTCTTCTTTTTGTTAAAAGATTTTATTTTTCTTAGAAGAAGAACTACTAGTCTTCTCAAAGTTAGCAGTCATCATGTTAGCAGACGCCCTCTGCTTAGCAAGGAGCTCAGTCTTCGTGCGAGTCCGAATCTCGTCCTCGATCCGAATTAACTTCTCCAAATTAGACAGTCACATTTCCTTTCCTTCTCCGAATGTTAATGGAGAATGACATCCAAGATAGAGAAAGTTTGTTGATAATTGCACCAGAAATGAAGGTTTGATAAAGATTGATTTTTTCATCCTTCAGCTTCATAACAAGCTTTTCAAGCTCTTTGACTTGAGGCAAAACCTAAGTGTCATCTTCAAACTTGAAGTCTAGAAACTTGTCAATGAGGTAAGATTTGGACAGCTTCTCCTCATTCTTGTACTGGTCCTCCAAAACATTTCAGATTTCCTTTTTAGAGGCCTTGTTGGTGTAAGCATCTGCTACATGATCGACCAGGCAATTAAGGAGATAACTCCTGCAGAAGTGATCATCTTTAGCCCAAGAGGCTTCAGACTCAGAATCTTCTTCAGAGTTAGGTTTCTCCTCAGAAACTACATAATAGATTTTCAAGAGTTGCATCCCAAAGATCACTTTCCGACGCCATGCATTGAAGTTAGATCCGTCAAAGTTCTCTAACTTAAAACAGTCCACACCAAGAGGCCTTGTTGGTGTAAGCATCTGCTACATGATCGGTCAGGCAGTTAAATAGATAACTCCTGCAGAAGTGATCATCTCTAGCCCAAGAGGCTTCAGACTCAGAATCTACTTCAGAGTTAGGTTTCTCCTCAGAAACCATATAATAGATTTTCAAGAGTTGCATCCCGAAGATCACTTTCCGACGCCATACGTTGAAGTTAGATCCGTCAAAGTTCTCTAACTTAAGACAGTCCACACCAAGAATCCTCGCAGGATCCATGGTCGATCAAAAATATTGTTTTAAGATTATTTGCGCCTGTGGCTAAATCTTTTAATTCAGGCAAAGATCTTTCGATCTGTAAAATCTCGGTTCAGGGCTAAGTTTCTTCAAGCACAGACTAAAGCTTGCACGCTTTCAAACTCTGCAGCGGCAGCACAACAGCTCGAACACTTCAGTGTGTTTTTCGTATATCCTAAGAGATGCCCCAATGTGCACTATTTATAGGCCTCTAAGGCCAGCTCAAGAGTCATCCGCAATCAGTTTGACTTAATTGTTGCAACTGCTACATGCAGTAACGCCTGAACGTGAGGGTCGCGTTTCTCGCACCCTCACGCGAACGCGAGGGTCGCGTTCCCTCTTGCAAACGCGTGGGTCGCACCCTTGCGCGAATGTAAGGGTCGCGTTCCCTCTTACAAACACGAGGGTCTTCCTCGAGGCTCACGTGTATGCTGCGAAGCAGCCTGCGAGGCGGCCACAGTGGCACCAAAGGGCGCTACCTAGTCTCGATGTCTCCGTACGAAGTGCAAAGTACGCCTTACAAAGCGTCACTTAGTGCCTCAGCCTAAATAGCCCCAATCCCCGACCCATTGGCCCACGGCCCATGACCTATAACTCACAACCCACTAGTAATTATAAAGGCTTAATTTAATTATTTAAATCAAAAACAATTCTCGGCTTGCCTATGACAAGCCTCGAACACAGGACCTTTTGAAACACCAAAACTTTTATTTTCCACTACGCTACTAAGGATTTCTAAATATTACCAGTAGTTAATAAATATATAATTTGAAAACTCATTTTTGAAAAGCAGTTTTGACCAAAAAATCCAACAACAACAACATGATAGTGGCTTCTACAATGGACCATTTAGACATTTACCTTTAGCTTGCAATAGATTTTGTTATACAATTGCAAGGATAAAACGAGCGCATAAATGCTTTATTCTCCCAATTTAATTCTCTATTTTACTTTTGTTCCTTTCTTTTTTTTTCAATTTTTCTTTAATTATATTTTGAACTGTGTAGTCATAAATTGCTGAGGTATGGAAACAAACAGATCCTACATCTAGAAGCTTAGGACTGAAATTACCTCTTCTGAAATTGCATCAAGTTGTTGAACTACATCAGCCGAAACTTCCTCCTTTAGATAACAACCTGACCATGACTCTATTTTGTCTAGAATTTGTTCATTTGGTAAAAACTTGATTTGTGAAGCCTTGTACAACTCTAAAACAGCCCTCATATCACTCAAGTGCCCTTGCACTGAGCTTTTGAAATGATCAACTTCGTCAAATTCAGCTAATGCATCTACACAAACTTCCACACATTATCACTCAAGTTTAAACAAGAAGAGAAATAGAGAACTGACAGGTATCAACAAAAGATCACCTGAAGAAATGTCATATCCATTCATACGTAAAATTCGAAATGCCATTGCACATGTGGCAGCATCCGAACTTATCTCTTCATCATCATGTGTCCAGCATCTGTTATATTGGATGAAGTCAAGTTCTAAATTCTAATAAAGATAGTTCCATAATATATGTCCAAGAATTATAATATGCTCACCACCTGTATATATTGTCCAATGTACTCTTTATTTCGTAACTAAAATGCCTAGAAATACCAAGCTTCTCAAGATCATCAACAATGCAAAGGCGTGTATATATATCTAGAGGATATACTGTAGGAACTGTAGAAAACAATAAAAAGAGATCTTACATCAGAAGCTGAATCGAAAAAGATTACCACGTATTCTAATATCGGATTAGATTTTGGAAGAACCTGAATTGCCGAATCTCTTTAGGAGCCAATGCAAGTAATTGAAGGCGTTCTCATTTTGAGTATGAATTATTGCAGCAGCAGTTGTAGAAGGAGAATTAAATAGTGAACCATTTTTCTTCTGATATTTCATAATTTCTTGCCAATCCTGTAATTCTCTCAATCCCTCTGCAACATATGCATGATAAGCGTTTCCCCCCTCTGAGGAGTCTGCAGCAAATCTAAAGAAAAGGAAATGAGTTACTGTACATTTGAATCTTCTTTTTCTTTCATTAATAATGAAAGTTAAGAATGTGAACAGCTACAGAAACCAAATATAAATGTCATAATGTGATTAAAAGTGCAAAAAAATGACTTCCAGATTGTCCTTCCAAGTGAGGACGCAACAAATAATATATCACATATGGAATATAAAAGGTTTCATTATATTATGTATTACGACTGAAGTTACCCTACAACAGAAAAGGAGAAAAGATAAGGAAGAGGTATTAATTTTTTGCATTCTAAGTCACCTCATTATGCATATTTTCTAGATTATGAAGCATAATATAGCCAGCTATACTTCAAGGTAAGAAATTCATGTACATCTAAATAACAAACAATTTAGATCAAGGGAACCAAGCAAGATGTTGGAATTCTACAACCAGTGGACTAATATATTCTATAAAAGCCCCAACCAAAACTTAGATCTAAGATTCCTTCAATGCATCAGTCAATGTTATTCCAACATTCACTTTATAACTCTAGAGCCTGTTTGGTTTTTGAACTACTAGAGGTACAAGAAGTGACATACAGAGAGCAAAAGGTCCATATTTTTTCTTTTTTTTTCTGAATTAGGAGTAATAAGTAATTAATTAATAAAAAAATTTACTTGATGTACTTCATTTGATTGTTCAGTTAGAAAAGGCCTGAAATAATCTCACACGTTATTATGTTAGAACCAACCATCTTTCTAAAATATCCTTTGTTACAGTAACTTCAAACACTAATTAAATTGTCAAAACATGCCAAAACAGCCTTTACCTTTTCAGTTCCATTTCTCTCATATTAAGCATAATATCTGTGTCCGATTGGCTTATGGGTATGTCCAAACCCATATTTATGGCATAATCAATCATACAGGGAAATATGATAATGAATCCAACAGGAGACTGCAACCTCTTATCCAAAATAGATGAGGAATTAGATCCAATATACTGCAGTCCTACAAATCAAAACCAAATCAAATTCTCCTTTAATGTGCATAAAGTTAAAAATAAACTAGGTCATAAGGTGTTATTTGAAATACCCCTATTCACATGTTCTTCGCCAACATTCCATCGATGAAGTGCTAGTATGCATGCCAGTGTAGAAGAAAGAACATCCTTAATCAAAGAGGGATCTCTATGAGGAAGCCCCCAAGACCCATCATGATGTTGATTGTTCAATATCCAATCAATACACTCAGGGAAGCATGGAGACTTTGGGAATCTCAGAGAAGGGACCATGGCCACCCATGCGGTATCATAAGATGAAGCTGAAAGGTCCACCTTCAACAATCCCTCCCTGATTATGTCCTTTTCTCTTCTATTCTGCAGAAATATTATTTATAAGCTTTTAGTTAAAAGAAAAGGCCTACATTCTCTTCAGCTTTGAATAATAATGTAGGATTATTGTCATACCTTAACTAGAACATTAGCACTTGTACTCATCTTCAATCCCCTTTCTAGAAAATGGAAGATCAAACAAACTAGAAAGTTAAACTCAAAGAACAAGATATTACATTGAAGCAAAATTAGGCTTTTTGAAAAATCTCTTGGAAACTCTAAATTGTGCAGAAAGACAGTTACAATTATTGTATGTCTAATCTAATACTATTATCAAAGTGTGTTGCCACGTTAAAATATTTCTTCCAAAAATACCCTCCGAAACACATACATGCATACATCTAGAGCACATCTACATGCATACATTAAGATATATACATACTTAATTTTTCATAACCTCCCTATTTATTACCATCAAATTTTTATTTAACCACCCACTAATAACATTCCCCCACTAAGTCTTGACATTACACACTAATAATGAAAAACGTTATAACTATTCCTCTTCCATAAATCACTATAAAGTACTATAGAATCTTATCAAATTTCTCTAACCAAAATTCTAACTCTTAATCAAAATTTATTCATATTGAAAAGTAAGGAGACACAACTATAGCACTTACAAACCACAAGAAGTGTGAGTGTGTCAATGGTAACATCACTGGTGGAGTACGATCGAATTGATTGAGAAGATGGTAATGGAAGCATCGGTGTAACAATTTAGAGAGCATAGAAAAAATTGGTGAAGACGACAAAGAAGGTGATCCTGTATTTTTATCAAAATCTGCAGCTATTTCAGTCATAAACTGATAGGTTTTTCCCCCTTCCATCTTCGTGTATGTCTTTGCCTTAGCATGTAAATTGGTTTCCAACTCCTAAGCATGTTTGTAAATATGCTAAATTATTTGTATAGTCTGATTGAATCTCTTAATACTATGCTTTTTCTCAGGATAAAGAAAGCTTTGTTCATGACAATGCATTATAAGTGTAATTGCTTTCACTCTATATATGTAAAGAGTTAATTTTCTTTCTATGGTCACTAATGTAATACATTGATATTATTAGGTTATAAAGGACAAATAGAAAGTGCAGGAAGATCAATTTAGAAAATGATATAGTTAATTGGTCCCGAGGATGCTTATAGAAGGGATTACTACTATAGTTTTAAGAGTATTATCAATTTTCTGCTATTAATCTACTATTTGAGTATAATAGTTAATGTATGATAATTATAATATATATTGATATCACATTAATATATAATATTTATATGAATTATTAAATATGTGCAACTATCAAATATAATATGAGTAAAAAGTTATTTATTTACCAATTCAAATAAATAAATATATAATATAACATTACAGTAATATGAAAAGTCGTCAACTTTTTATTATTCCACTGTCTTCTTAACCCCCATTCAATAAGGAACTCATTCACGAAGGGTTACCCATTTCTCCATTAACCATTTATAAATGGCATTATTATAACAAATAGGGAAATTTGTACATAATTCCCTCTTCTATATCTTGAGTTGCACTAAATCCTCCTCAATATACTAGCATTTAATACCCTTAAAATGCAATTTTAGAGATATAAATTGTAAGTATCAAATATAAATTGGGGAACTCTAAGAGCTAATAATAAACTAGAGGAGGTTTAATAATTTCTAGAAAGATAGTTTCAAAATGACATCCCTCTCTCACATGTAAATGTACTTGAGCTTCTTGCTTTACAAGTAGTTTATATTTTATAATAGAAATATGTGTAAGCTAATTTTCTATGCAGAGAGTTATTATTTTTGATAAAAATAACTTATTCATAACCTCCTACAAATATACTCATTTAGTCTTTATGCATTAAGTCTCATTTCATTGAATAAATATTAATTTTTATTAATTACTATAATATCTTAATAACTATTCACTTTCTAACCTAATAGAACCAAAAGAATTCCAAAAAATTGATCAACAAGTGTGCCTACATGCAATGCACGTACACGATACTAGTAATGAAAAAAGTATAAAGATTAACTAAGTGAGCACTAGTCATTGAAATAAGAATCATGAGAATCTCATGGTACCTACACCATTCATCTTGATCTACACACATAAGAAATAGTTCAAGAATGAGAAAATTGAGAAGTTCTAAACCTTCTAGCAATCTCAAAGGGTAGTTCCTTGTACTACGGAAAAAACAACATGCTTCTTTTTCAAATGATTAATTTGTGATTAAAAAGATCTTAAATCGTATGTATCATTCGTACTTTAGGTGTATAAATCAAGATAAACAATGTGGAATATCCAAAGGGGGACACACTTGAGTTCTAACAAACTTACTCCTTAGAACCATTTAGAAATTAGAACATCTACTTTGGTGGTTAAGATTAGCACCAGCTATTTAAATTAGATCACGGTTAATATAGCCAAGAACAATATGTATAGCTTTTAGATTACTAACATACTAACTGAGCAAAATAATCAAACAAGGGTTAGGTACCTTGATAACAAATATATATAGCAAACAATACTTATAGCTTTTAGATTACTAACATGCACTCAAGTACATTAGGTACTTGTAGGATAAAAATAACCAAAAAAAAAAGATATTGGAGCCAATAAGGAAATTCTATGTAAGAACCAAACTACCCCTAGTTTGGCATCTTACTCAATTGAACAATTGAGATGGGGTCAAATTTTAATTATTTTAAATGATTTAGTCGTCTAATTGTAGATAACATTAGTCTGGTTCTGGTTTCAACTAAGTTAGAAAACAAGCTCAGGATCTTATATCTGAAAAACCCAGACAAATATTTTTTTGGACACAAGAAATTGATATATCATCTTTGTAGAAGTATAAACAAAATTTTCCCAGAAAACTTACACTCATAGAAACTTATAATAAAAAAAATTTACGTTATAATATAAAAGAAGTTGTACGAATTTCAGGAAAAATATCAAACCTTCAAAATCGGGGACGTTTATGGACGATGTCACTTGGGAACGAGAAACTCGAATGTTAAAATCTGGTTTACTGCAGAAGAAAATACGGTTGGAGACCGAAAGAAGTTGCATCCTCTTTAGATACTCCAATTTTAACTGAAGAAACCAAAAGTAAAGCAACATAAGAAAAAACAGAAAAAGAAGGGAAGAATGAGAACTTGAAAGCAATATTGTGAAGTGGGAAAGCCTAGTACTCCAGACCAATTCAACGGCATATGGATGATGTCCTTGGGCAGTAACTAAACGTCCAATTCTCCCATTATTTCCTTACTCCAATATCAGATAAGAGGTAAAAATTTGGTCAATTCTCCTCGAACTTTTTTCATGTTTGGTCATCGTATAGGGAAGGGCTTAAATGATCATTATGTGGTCAATGACACTCTTTTAGTAAAGAATATATGTCTATGTGTTCTTAGTCCAAGACAAGACACTTTCAAAGCCTTCTCCACCAAAAATGGCCATAGTTAACATAAATTATGACACTATGTGATAAATTCAATAGAAAAATCTAGCTTGCTAAGCACGCGATACAAATTTAACATAAAATCTAACGAAAATAAAACGGAGGGTGCCAAAGTAAAATCGAACTGGGATTTGGGGCATCAAATTGTCAAAAACAAACGTTACAAACCTTTGGGGTATAAATGTTAAAAAGGGGTAGACTTTGGGGTGGAAATGTGAAAATAAGCCTATATCAAACAAACTGGAGTACCATCACAGACTTTAACAATAGACTAAAACATGGTTCAACCTCGCAGATTACTTAATAAGTTTAAAAAAATACACATGGGCATTGACTTTAAAGTATTCCTTTAACAAATATTCTTCTTATTCTTCGGAGAAGTATTCTTTCTTTCCTTTCCTATAAAATATTTGTTTTTTAATGGACTGTAAAGAGAGATACCCAGCATTGATTCCTTATGGAGTGAGTGAAGCCGATTGTCGTCTTTTGCATCGCATTGTATAATCAAACTTTTGTATACCTATACAACGTGGGTTTTCTTTAGGGAGATCCCAGTGGCATTTGCGTAAATTAAGTGTGATTATTCAATCTATCTCAATTCATGAAAATTTTAACAAGAAAAAAACGAATTAAATAATGGGAGATCAGAGAAAAGAGAGATGCAGAGGGAGCCTTACCCAAAATTTGTCGTGGGTTCTGCCCCTTCTCGTCGCTCGGCCTTCTTGATCCTTCAGATGAATGAAGTTGAGAGGAGAGCGAAGGGAAAGGCACTAGCTTTATTTATACGTATACGGTAGTAAAATGGAGATATGCATCCCCCCTCATTGGTTCGTACACTGGACCCAACAGGTATGTGAAAGGACATGCATACCCCGAGTAAGTAGAAAGGAAAAATTCGTCAATGACCCAAAATATGGGACCAATAGGGGGACAAGTGAGGTGTCCCCCTCCTATTGGATAATGAGTTGGTCATCATTAATGATGACCAACTCATTATCCAATAGGAGGGGGACACCTCACTTGTCCCCCCCTATTGGTCCCATATTTTGGGTCCCTGTAGCAAAGCTCAGTAGAAAGTTGATCCAATATTTATCAAATAGTTTGTTCACTATGCATTTAAGGGGCTGTTTGGATGCCTTTAGGAAACTAGAGTATTTATGACACAAAATAGAAAGCGGTTATCCACCTCATCACTTTTCATTTGAGTGTTTACATTGTTTGGTTAGGAATATTTGTGAATCCTAAAATAATAGTATTACATTGTTTGGATATTATAATGTAAACTAGAGTATTTATGACACAAAATAGAAAGTTGTTATCCACCTCACCACTTTCCACAAGGTTTTGACTTTTTTATTATTTTTTTGAACATATTTATGACATTGTGTAAGCTTTCCAACAAAATCACTCCTAATTTTGGTGATTTTGCTTTCGGTGAATTTATGACATTGTGTAAGCTTTCCAACAAAATCACTCCTAATTTTGGTGATTTTGCTTTCGGTGACACCTCATCAAAAGGTGTAAGCTTTTCATGTAAAAGAGAATTTAAACAAACAATGTAAAGTGATGAAAGCTAACATTAGGACCCACTTTTTTACACTTTTCATCATTTTACATGGTAAAAACATACAACCAAACAGCCCCTAAGAATTCATTCGGTGGTTTTTTTTTTTTTGGTTGATGGGAAATACAGATTCCGACATTTGTTTTGCAACTAGATACCTGGGGATGGTAATTGAATTTCTACTTTGTAGAAAAAAAATGAAAATAACGCAGCAAGCGGCATCTTTTGCTTCTAGTTTGGGTGCAACAATTGCTATGGGTCCTTGTATTAAGGGACAAATTTTCACAACCAACTCATTAATAAACTTAATTGCAAAAATGGACCCATTTCGAATTTAATTGTCAAAATCGACCCAGTTTCAGCTAGTTTGCTGAAACTGGATCGATTTTGGCGAAATAATTTACGAAACTTCACAGGACTTCAAGTCCCGTAAAGTTTAAGTGCGCTGTTAAGCTTCACAGGACTTCAAGTCCCATGAAGTTTCATAACTTTTTTTATCAAAATCAACCCAGTTTCAGCCAACTGACTAAAACTGGGTCGATTTTAATAATTAAGTTACAAATAGAATATTTTTTGTAATTAAGTTTCTAAATATGTTGGTTTTGAAAATGTGTCCTTGTATTAACTAAAAACAGTAAAAAACTAACATCATGTCATCAAACTGGTGAATAATAACTAAAAAAATGCAGAACTTTTACATTTGCAAATGAGCAAACATTTTGTTTTTAATAGATTTGAGAACTAACCAAATAGTTAAATATAGATTTGAAAATATATTTACCACCATAAAATACAGATATTAAAACGAAGAATTGAGGTTAACTTCCTACAACAAAAGTTTTATGCATCATTTTCTGCATGTTACATTTTCTTATTTATAATTATAGTGTACCAAATATCCCTTTAAATTCAGTTTCATAGACATATATGCTAAAATGACTTTTAGTATTCAAATACAAATATTCACATATTTGATCCATTTGCTTATCAAATTTTTGCTTAAAATGTGATATTTAGTAACTCATTTTATTATAAACGTGATGTTATATTTTCACACTACATACATTCAAAAGAGGTCCTTAAAAATCTATAAATCTCAATTTCTATGAGTTATATATTGTTGGCGCTTGTGGTTAAATCTGGAAAAAAACAGATAAATCTGTTAAAGAGTTGAAGTGTTGTATTTTAAAACATTTTCAAGTTTAGCTGTTGTGCATTTATGAAATGCTGTCCTAAAACAATATTTGGCCTACTCCGGTGCAGAATCTCAAGGCCAAACTGCTTCCAGGAACAGCAGTACAGTACACCGGTGTTTGTAGAAAATTTGGAGTAAAATAAATGAAAGAAAATTTTGATTTAAATTCTCTCGAGCTCAATTACAATTGGATTTCGATTACAAAAGAGAAGAGAATGATCTGGATTCTCCTCTTTGTTTAAAACTGGGTTCTTCTCGGTAGCGATGGAGTGTCTCCTTCGAATGCTTGCGTCAAATTTGCTCTCCGTTGACGATCCGACCGTCTTGTCTCTTGGGAACAATTAACTTATGTAGGATCTGAAATAGATACACTAGAACACTAGAAGAGGGGTGAATAGTGTTTTTTTAAAATATATGCAAAGTAGATTATAAATTGCAAAGAAAAATGGCAATCTCAGAAATTCACAATCACAAACACAAAGTTTTATACTGGTTCCACCAACCCGGTGTACATCCAGTCCCCAAGCAAATCCCGCTTGAGATTTCCACTATGATTTTGAAACCTTACAAAATCAAAAGCAAACCTGACCAATTTGCAAGACCATGCAAATTGCAACACCAATTGACAAGACCATGCCAATTTCCACCCAATCTCTAAACCAAGAGATCAACCCTCTCAAACCCGAGAGAAATCCTTTTTGAAGCAAGAACACAATTGATCCTATAAGCCTTGAATGTGTAGTGAAGTGCTGCAGTGGCTTAGGATTCTTTTAACTCTCTGAATATTGTCTATACAATCTCTAAGAATGATTGAAACCAAGGCAATATCAGAAACTCTCTTTTTCTAAACACTTAGCATGAAAATCTGGAAAATTAGAGAGTGAATATGCACAAAATGTTTGATCTTGCAAGTGTAAAACTTGGTTGTTGTTTTCTGATGTTTAAACCTATTTATAGCCTCTGAAATGACATAATTTTAAACCCAATTAACGTCCACAAAACGGCTATAAACAGTCACTTATTTAAAACCTGAAATCTGAAAAAACTGCATCTGTAGTCGACTACAAGTCATAGTAGTCGACTACACTGAGTCTAAACAGACTCTGTGAAGTCAGAAAATTGCTCAGTAGTCGACTACAAGGCATAGTAGTCGACTACACTGTAAACTCAGATTCTGGAATTTTTCTGTTTAGTATTTTGACTATAACTTTCTCATCCGATATCGGAATGAGGTGATTTAAGATTTGTTGGAAAACTCTTGAAGAGACCTAAAACTTTGATCTTTTGAGTTTTTCCAGATTCTAATTGATAAGAGGTATAAAAAAAAAATTTTAAGACTCACTCAATATCTATAAACTCTAATGGCTAACATAGGGGATTTCTATTGTTAACCAACACACTAAGCATGTGTTAGTGTGTTCTAACACTATGTGTGTGCATGTGTGTGAGTGATCAAGGCTTGTACAAATTTCTAAGCAAAGAAAATATAAAATTACATTTTGACAATAAAGTATATCTTCTTCTTTGCTTCATTTTGCCTTGAACTCATCTATGTCTTGAGTATCTCTTTGAATATAATTGTTGATATAGCTCTGATACTGCAAAACAAATGTTAGCACATAATACACACAACATATAATATTTGTTATCATCAAAACAAACTAATCTTGGGGTCAAGATTCCTAACATTCTCCCCCTTTTTGATGATGACAAATATATGTTATTAAGATATAAAAATTTTAATCCCCCTGCATGAAATCATTAAATAAAATCTTTTACTCCCCCTGCATCAAAGCATTAGTAAAAAATTTAAAATTAAAATTTTCTATATAACTCCCCCTTTGTCATTAGCAAAAAGAAATAAACATAATTCTAATTAAAAATTTCTTTTCTTGGGTACCTTAATAAAAATATCAAGCACTTTGGTACCCTTTTATATTATATCATTAGGATTAGCCCTTAGGAATCCAAATCCACTTGGAATTTGGTTTCCATTTGTTAACATAAGTGTAATTCTTTGAATTGCAAACTTCATAAATATAAGATGAAATATAATAATTCCTATCATGAATATTCAAATTCTTAGGAATCCATATATACTTATTTTGTTTAGCATGAATATTCTTATTATTATTCTTCAAAACATAATCATTCTTTATAAAATACTTAGGAACAAATCCAATGCCAAAATGATTGTTTGAAGATTTTTGAAATGAGAGCAAATTATTCAAATTCTCTTTACTTTTATTGAATTTACTAACATTCAAACATATATCATCATATTTTAATTTAATAGAAGAAATATCTTTATCTAAAACATTAATGCGGATTTTTAAATCATTGCATTCTGATTTTAGATAAACATTCTCATTAGTCAAAATATGATTTTCTTTAAGCAAGGATTTATTTTCCTCTTTCAATTCAATTACTTGAGAATTAGAAATAGTAGAAGAATTAAAATCAGAAATTTCTTCAAGTAATCTTTTATTTTCACCTTTAAGAAAATTATGTGAAGCCTTTAATCTCAAAAATGTTTCATATAATTCATTGAAAGCATCTAATAATTCTTCATTATTGCATACCTCATCTTCTTGTGCCATGAAGCACATGTGAGTGGATTCCTCTTTTTGTTCTTTCATTTTGAATAACTCAAACCTGTGCACAAGAACAGATATTTTAGATTCTTTAACTTTATTTGTACCTTCATGAGTTACCTCAAGTGTATGCCAAATATCGTATGCAGATGTGGCCGTTGACACCCTATTGAACTCATTCTTGTCAAGTGCACAAAATAATGCATTCATTGCTTTTGAATCCAAATTTGCATTATTTCTTTGAGAAGTAGTCCATTCTGCAAAAGGAGTTGTTGGCTTCTCATATTTTGTTTCCACGACGTTCCAAAGTTCGTAGCCAATTGATTGAAGGTAAATCTTCATTCTGCACTTCCAATAGTTGTAGTTCGAACCATCGAACATTGGAGGACGATTTGTAGAGTA